CAAAAGTCAGTGTTATTTCCACTACACTATCACATGACAGAGGGCTTAGACTTGTTCTGTTTGGCCCCGGTGTGCCTCAAGACAACAGATTTATAAATATGGCAGCTAGGTGGTGCCATAGTGCATAGAACACTGGTCTTGGAGTCCGTAAGACTCATCTTCATGAGTTCAAATCTAGCCTCAGATACTTCATAGCTGTGTGACTCTGGGCGAGTCACTTAACCCTGCTTGCCTCAGTTTCCTCATCTGTAAGATGAGCTGGAGAAGGAATTGGCAAACCATTCCAGTATCTTTGCCAAGAAAACCTCAAATGGGGTCACAAAGAGTTGGACACAACTGAAATAACTCAACAACACCAACATACAACATACATATAGGGTAGATATAAGGTAATCTCAGAGAGGAAGATACTAGCAGTTGGAGGGACCAGGAAAGGTCTCCTGACCCCTGAAGGAAACCAGACATTTAGAGAGGCAAAAGTGAGGAGGGAGGGCATTATGGGCATGGGGAAGAGTCAGTGCAAAGGAACAGAGATGAAAGCTAGAGTGTTGAGGAACAGCAAAGAGGCCAGTATGGATTTACTATAGAAGGCATAGAGGGGAGTAAAGTGAAGAAAGATCTTCAATATTTTGGCACCTTACAGAAACCTTGATTTACTCACTTTAGTCATAACTCTAACATCAATTCAGTTATTTCATCAACTCTGACTTAGATCAGCGCATATACTACTTTACTGTCAGGAGAGGTTAGACATAATCCAGCCCACCTCATCTTGGAGACTGATACTATTATGCTTGAGCTCAGCATTACCGTGACAGGCGCCCACATTTCTCTAGCTATGGTGTCTTAAAGAGGCTCAGAGGATCAGGACTATAGGCTTTGCTACATGAGCATCGGAATCATCTTTGGTTACCAGACTCCATGCAACTCCTTCTCTACTTTCCCTTCATGTCCTGTAACCCTGGACATCAAGGATCTGGCTTAGGTGAAAAGTTTGTGTGTGTGATAACCAGAAGGATCAGGAATGGAAGGATTCAAGGCATCAGTTAAGGCATGGCATTTCAGCGGGCTGGCACAAGAATTTAGAAAGTCACAACTTTTAATGAAGAACCATTTTATGTGACAAAGGATTAACCTAACTTCCTTTCCCCTAATTTGATCATTCCTCCCCCAACTCTGACTTCTCCCTGCATTTCAGAACTCTGAGAATTTTTTCCCCTATAGGACTAACTTGATGTAAAAATCAAATCAAATGTGCAATCCACAGGCCAATGAGCTTAACCTCAATTCCTGGCAAAAGAAGCAGTGATCACAATCGCCAAGTGTGACCTTATTAAGAACCCAGTACATAAGAGTAATCATATTTCCCTTTTTCAGCTGGGATAATTAGTTGGATAATTAGAGGAATGCTATTGTAAGAGTTTACCTAGGTTTTAGGAAGATACATGGTAATCTCTTATGCTATTTATTCCCATAGAAAAGATCAAGAGATGCGGAGTTAAGTGGGAGTATAATTGTTGCTGTTCACTTGTTTCAGTAACGTCCAACTCTTCATAACCCTGTTTGGGGATTTTCTTGACAAAGATACTTGAGTGGCTTGCCTTTTCCTTCCCAAGTTCATTTTACAGATGAGGAACTAAAGCAAACAGGGTCTAGGGTCACACAGCTAGTAAGTGTCTGAGGCCGGATTTGAACTCAGGAAGAGGAATCTGCCTGATTGCAAGCCCAGTGCTCTGTCCATTGTATCACCTAGCTGCTGATAGTATAATTACATTTACTCAAACCTGATTGAATGACTGAACCCAAAGAGAACTTGGTAATGGTTTGATGTTAACATGAAAGGTATCCATTGGAGTGCCCCAGGAATCTGTGCTGAGCTCTGTGCTGTGTTCAGTTTATCAATGACTTGGCTAAAGGCATGATGGAATTGCTCCTATCTTTGAAGATGACACCAAGATGAGAGATATCACTAGTATAGTGGGTGATAGGATCCAGAGGGATCTTGATTGGCAAGAGCATTGTGTTGAATCAAATAAGATGAAATTCAGTAGAGATAAATGTCAGTCTTACCCATGGGCTCCAGGAATGCTCATCAGCAACACAAGATGGAGATGACAAGGTGAGACAAGCAGCTTGTCTAAAAATTATCTGGGGGTCTTAGTGGACTGCCAGCTCAAGATGAGACAGCAAGCAATGTCAGCAGTTAGAAAAGCAAATGCGATCTTGGGCTGCATTGAGATCTTGCAAGAATGAGGGGATGATAGCCTCAGTGTGCTCTGCCCTTCTCATACCCCATTTGGAGCATTTGTACAGTTTGGGGTACTGTATGTTAGGAAGAAATTTTTGATAAAATCAAGTGTATTCAGAAAAGGGTGACCAAAATAAGAAAGGGTTTTGTGTTCATGTCAAACAAAGAAGGACTTGGATATATTTAACCTGGAGAAGGAAGGCTCTGGTGACAGTCATGTGGAGGAGGGCCAAACTTTTGTTTTTCTGCTTG